ATGTATTTATTACAGTTATGTGTACCTACTTTATTCCTGGGGTCTCTCAATAGTTCCACATATGGAGGTTAATAATAGGACAGTGAAACCCTTGTGGGCATTAGAGATCTAAGTGAACACTCTATTATTGCAACTGCAAGTAGGAAACAAATGCCAAACGTTGTGGCTGCTGAGTAACTGTGCTGAGCCTTTCTGAGAAGTCTACTAGTGTTGGGACAGTGCTCATTCCATCATAATCACAAGCTACATTTTGGTGGAAACATCCCTAGCATGGGACATGGATCCATACTTCCAGCCTAAAAGGAGCAGCTTCAATGATTAACTTCAACTTTCAGTCCAGGTACCCCCTGCATTATTCCCTGGAGACAGCAGTGGTGACATTAACACAGACGTCAAGTGTCTATGGGTTCAGTGCCTTGACTGGCCTCCAAGACTGCAAAGCCTATCCCATCTTGCACTTGGCTGCATTTAAAGGTGCCGGTTGATTGAAGGAATGGACAGCTTTTTTTTCTCTTTTCTCATAGCCCATTTTTCCCATTGGCCCCAAAATGTAGGCTGCCCAAGAACTTCGACCACAGAAGGATCAGCTCCACCAAAAAGGAAATAGGCAGGAGGGAAAGATAGGAACCTCCTTAGCAAGCTGTCAACAGGCTTCTAGGGGCTGGAGGAAAAACCACTGAGAAGGGCAGGATAAGTGAGAGTTCTTGGCTCTTTGTGTCTTGTAAAATGAAATAAGCAGATTGTATAGCCTGGGGCTAACCTCAGCCTTGGATTTAAACTCAGACCCTTAATTAGGCTGTCTGGATCTCTTTTAAAGGCACCTCGCGAAGGAATCCAAAGTTGTGAGGTGGAGCCTTGACTGGAAATAAAAGTCTGTTCCCTGTGCTGAGCTCTGCTTAGCCTCTGTCAGCTGGTTAATGGAAGAATGATCTGGAGAGAAAATAATGGGCAAGTGAGGTAATGTTTCAAAACAAAGGCTGCCTGAAACATTCCCCAAACACACATCCTATTAACCGGATCAGTTGAGTCATCTTCAAATACGAAGAAAAGACATAGACTGTTTCTTAGCCACAAAAAAGGCTCAACCACATTTCTTTTATCATGTCCATTAGTAGAAATGACTAAAGATGCCCTTGAGTGTCAGTGCATTACACTTAGAACATCATGCACCCTCAGCTCTTGTAGATGCTTTTTCCAGCTTCCTATGCAGCACTGACTTTGTTTTCTTCAGGCCTAGGTTTGGTGAAAGCTTCAGTTCATGCCATGGAGACCTCTTTACAGGCTACAGACATCTTTTCACTTTAGGTTGCACAGTTCAAATAATATAGAAAGAAAGGCAGTGACTATATTTTGAACATAATTAGTTTGCAAAAATACGTCCCGTTTGTTAGAATTTGACTCAAAATCTCCCTACTTATCATTTTTAGGTTTTATATCCAGAAAACCAGACAGGGAATTCTCAACTCTTGTTTCAGCCCCAAGGTTTCCTGGAAGGAACATAAATAGAAGTCTCAGGCCAGAAATGACCTTAGCAATCATCTGGTTCAGCCTTTCCATTTTACTGATTAGGAAACTAAGAGCCAGCATAACCTGAAAACAGGGTGCTAGTCCTTGACGCTGTTACAAAATTCTCATTTGCCAGTGGTCAAATTCTCGTCAAGACCTGGGCCATCAGGTCCTCTCCCATCCCCTTCTGAAGTAGCAGGATGGTCACAGTTTAGCAAAACGCACTCAACAAATTTTGTTCCTCCAGAAACACTTGCAGTTTTGCAAGCAAATGGTGTGTGTTCAATGCATTCATTTTTTCTTCCCATTTGAAAAGTTCTTCCTGAGTTCCCAGCTCTAGTGGTCACTGTTCATAGCTTGAGGCTATGGAAAAGGGCACTTATTCTGAGGCTCTGGAAAGGGGTACTTCCTACAGGTATACAGGCTTGTGCATTAGGCTAGATTTCATTGCTTCAAATGTCCTCTTTTTCTCTCTGTTGTGTTTTTTGGTTTTTTTTTTTTCCAAAAAAAGAATGGTGGATGGTTGTCCTTGAGCTAGTCCACTTATTTTTGTTCTAGCACACCTATCCCTCACCAAAGTTGGAAGAATTATACACTGCAGTTTATACTCAGATCTCTTGTCACTTACATTCAAAAGGATTCCGTCCTTCTTGCTTTCTTTTTCTTTTTTGGGGGGGGGTGGGGTTGTTGGTAGACTCTAAGCTCTGTGATACTCTTTCTTGGTCATGCTTGGGTAGTGTCCAGCCCCTAGCAGATGAATGAATGAATGGGAGCAATGTTCTATAAATGGTTTATGGCTTAGAAAATCAACTATTGACCCTTGACATCAAATTCTATAACTGGCATTAAGACTTGCATGATTCCCAATCTTCACTGAGAGGTATTATTTGTCCAGATACCTGAAAAGAGATCCCCAATGCCTTGTTCTAGGCTTGAGATGTAATGGATGAGCTATGAGTAGACGGCTTTTTAAAAATAAAAGGAATCTTAGTGTTGATTGACCCATTCTCAGAGTAACTGTGAAACATGACTAAGATCAAACAGAGCTAGAGGCAGATCTAGGACTGGAATTAGCCCTTCTTGTCCCCATCCCAGTACTTTTATTTCAAGACATCAGACAGTCTTGCCAGTGACCATCACTGAAAGGCAAAGTCAAGTTCTGTGACACTGAAGTCCTCGTAGACCTAGAACAGAAATAGAGATACATGGTATACATGCCATGACACTTCCTTTTGCTGCCCAAAGGAGACGCCACTAACCATCATGAGATTTTCCCATTGGGTCTGGACAGAACCTCAGGCAGCCATGACCAACCAGAGTTGGCACTCAAGATGAAACCTATCATCCACCCTCCTCTAGAGGAAATAAGGATTTCAGAAGCCAATGAACTCTGGTCTTAACCTGTCTTTTCAAGATGAGCTGAACCTCCAGCCAGGAACCTCCCACCCTTTATTGCTCTTCAGTGTCCTCACATCCCCAAGGGACTTAGAGGTGATGTTTGCAAGCAGGTCTTCCACAGCATGTTTCTGCCAGACAGAGCAGGTGCAGTTATTAGTCATGACTCCAAGCCAGGCAAGGTGATTAAGAAAAGCTAAATTTATATTAAATTATCATAAAGTCCTAAAAATACTGAACATAGTGGTTAAATAACTCCAGAAAGTCCAATCTCTCCAGTGAGTAACGTTAAAACCATTACACATGAGCGTGGGAGAGTCACTTCCATTAGTTTAGGACAGAGAGATTTTGCTTTTTACATAGTAAATCAGTGCTCAAATAGATACTTCTTCAAATATGTCCTTTCTACATTCTGAACAGCCCAAGTGCAATAAGATCCTTCCCCCTTTCCGTTCAAGAAAATGCCACTTTGCTACTTCCTCCCCATGCCCAACCGTGAGTCTGAGGACCCAAAGGGCTCCTTCTTTTACGGCCCCATCAAGTGTGAAATGTCCCCCTTCTTCCCAGGAGGAGGACCTTTCCTTTCCCACTCTGTGTACTGGAAAAGCCTGCTTGGCCTGGCCTGGCTGTCCTATGAGGGTCTAGACCTGGGGCTGGCTACTGCGAGCAGGGCTAAGAGCCTGGCACCTGTCTCTAGCGGTCTTAGAACTGACCAGAAAAGGTTTGCTCTGATCTTCCCTTTTCACTCACATGTTTGGCAGCTGATTTCTCAATACCAAGAAGCCCAGGATGTGTTTCAAATCCGGAAACTTCCCCTTGAAGCACCCCCAGTCCATTCTCAGTTCCTGTTGTTGCTTTTGATCCCTGGGTGAAAGAGGTCTGGATCTGCCCTGGGCTGAAAGGGCTTCCTCAGTGGTTCTCTCTACCTTCCTACTCCTTGCCCCCCACTCTGCATCTTTATTTAGGCCTCTTCACCATACGTGCCTACAAGGCTAGGTCAGAAAAGGCAAATTAGGCACCTCCCCTCCTCCCCAAAAAAGAAGAGCTAGGTAGAAGTTTTAGGACAGTAAAAAGTCTCAACTCCCCTGACACTAGTGTGACATACATGCCTTTCGTGTGAATAAGCATGAACCAAGTGATGGCACCTCAGCATGAAAAGGGAGTCACTTAGCTGGGAAGAGTCGGAATGGGAACTTCACCACCCACAGCCGCAGGCTCTGTCTACTCACTTAGATCCTTGAGCACCTGAGAGAGAACACAGGAGGCTCAGCTTCATGGACACTTCCCTTTAAGCCCTGGGTGCCTCAAGTCTCTAAACCAATCACTCTTCCTGACCATGTATGAAAACTTCTGGCCCTTCTTTGGAGAGTTGCTTCAGGATCTCTGTGCTCAGAATCCCAGAGAATGAGGAAGGAGAAAGTGGCAGAACATTACAGTTCAGGGGATGTGCTAAGATTGGTCTAAGCAGTGCTTCTCAGACACTGCAGAGACCCAGCCCTGAGGGTCCCACACGCATTCAAGACACTGGCTCACAACCTGGAGGCAGCAGGAGGGAATTCATATTAGCCAGCTGCCATGTGATAAGAGACCCCCCAGTCATCTGAAGGTAGAAAAGGCTCCAGACATTCTAGCAGGAGGAAGAACAGCTTGAGCCATACCCAGACCTCATCAGTATCTGCAGCTGAAGAAACAACAACTGTCAGGGCAAGAATAATATCCATTGCTGGCAGTGGAGAGGACACCCAGGCCCAATCACCCTTAAAAGCTTTTTCATGTTGCCAATGCACTCGAGGCTGGAGGTTTTCCAGATGCCCATGCCAGCTGGGCTGACTCCTCCTTCTCTCAGCCTCTATCCTTCATCTCTCTCTTTACCCATGACCCCCACCCCCCCCCGCCCCAGCCCCCCCGGTCAGCAAGTTCCCTCAGAGATGCGGTCAGGCCAGCTCTGATGGAGCGAGTGCAGTCCTGGATCATCAGCTCTTGGGGGGCAGGCACTGGGGGTGCCAGGGGAAGGGGAGGTGGAGCTCTGTACTGACGAGGAATCATTACTGAGCCTGGTTTCAAGGGGGCTCAGGATGGCGTGCATGAGGTGAGGTTCGTGGTAAAATCCAGGTCTAAATTCTCAGGATGCCCCATCATTTCTTGTGCACAGGTAGTTACGAACCCAGGTGGAAACAGCTCCAGTGGAGGGCTTGGGAGCAGTTACGAGGCGGGAGGAGGCGGCGCAGGACGAGCACACAGGAAAGGGGCCTGCTGTATAAGCGAGCTCAGGGACTGAAGCCCACCAAGGAGAAGGAGCAGGTAGGAAGGGAAGGGAACATGGGCGTTTAGACTTGGCTCTCTGAGGAGAGCTTGCGTTCGTGTCTCCAGCCTGTGTCTGGCAGGGAGCCCCGTCTTTCAGGAGTGGCTGCGGTATGGACGCTGCTGCACTCAGACTGCTCTTCCTGCAACAGCTGCTCCGTCTCCATGTCATCCAGGGAGCCAGAGCTGGCCTGGATGGACACGGTGTCTGTCTTCATGCATACATGATCCCGAAGGAGGCCCCCTCGGGAGCTGCGCAGTTGCTTGAGGTCATCCCACTCAGCATCGTCCCCAGACAGGAGGCAGATCCCCTCTACAATCTTGACCTTCTCCTTGGTGTAGTTATGGTCAGGTCCACCCTAGGGTGGGGAGTGGAGAGACACGGTCAGTTGGTTGGCTCTCTGTAAAGGATCTCATGACGAACTTAGAAAGGAAGTGGATGGGTTAAGAGTGGGCATGAAGAGCGCAAAAATCCCACAAACAAATGGGGAAATCTAGTCAGAGCAAATGTATGAGGCTGAGCCTAAAAGGAAAGGAGCAGCTGTGATGATTATTACCATTATCATACAGGGAGGAGGGAGAACCGTGACTTCCGTGAGCCACTCACTGGCTACATCACCTCGGGCAAATTACTGAACATCCCCCAAACTCAGGCTCACCGCTTTAGAGTAACAGTGTCCGTACCTCATAACCAATGGCTGTGAGAGTTAAATGAGGCAATCCACGCAATGCAATTAGTAGGTGCCTGACGCATAATATGCACTAGATCATGTTAGCTATTATTACATTGCTAATGGGGTTTATTAATGGGACAGCATGCTAATATACATGATCAGAAGCAATTGACAAAAGCAACTAAATGTGCATTTATTCAAGATTTTAAACTACTTTGGTGCTATTCCTTTTTTTTTTTGAAGTATAGTTGATTTACAATGTTAGTTTCTGGTGTACAGCAAAGTGATTCAGTTTTAAATATATATATATATATATATATACACACATATATGGTCAGATTCTTTTCCATTATAGCTTATTATAAGATACTGAATACAGTTTCATGTGCTATTTTATTCTTAATTCTCTTCTTTCTAACTTTCTTAAGAAGAAAAGTTTTAGAAGGTAAGACAGGAGGGCTCTAGAAAACCCTCTTACTTGAGTTCTGTCAATCCACTGGGGGTACTGTAACCTATAAGCTTTTGTGGGAGGTTATTCTGGCTCTACTCCCAGGAGCCTCAGGGCCATTTCCAAGCAACCTGCGATTGTTCCAAGGACAGCCTTAAGTTCCACTCAGGCTTCTCCCTTTATGGATTCCTCAAGGGGTAGCCGTACTCCTGGTTTCTGGGGGATACCAACCAACATGCCGCCACTGCCAAGAGAAAATGGGCCATGGCTTGGGCTCTGTCCCTGGGATGGTGTTCCTGCCAAGAGCCCTGCAACTGCTGCTCTACTTTAGTAACAGTTCAGTTCCACAGATATTTATTGAGCCCCTTCCCTTCAATAAGCAGGATACTTTGATGATTAAACAATATAAAATATGGTCCCTGCCCTCTGGGAGTGACGACTCCCTTGATCAAGGCACGCACACACATGCCCAGTCAGCCAGCACACCCTCCAAGCTGAATTAGTGTCAGATAAGATGCAGACCACTCAGTGTCTTCATCACAGAGACACGTGGGGTAAGTCAGGGAGATGTGGGTGACGTGGCACTAGCAATTTGGGTGATACCACGCCCTCTACAAACACACAGCAACAGGTACCTGAAATCAAGAGGAAATCAGAAGAGAAAGGGTGAAAGACTATCAGAGGGGTGAAAGAGCTGCTGAGGAAAAAGCATACAACAGGAGAAAGAGTCACATGATTTTAATTTCTAACCTAGGGCCCTCATTGGGGTTCTTTTCTGGGGCATCAGACACTCCAGGAACCCAAGAAGCTTCAAGAGTCTTTCTCTCAAAGATGTTCACAGAGAAGGGGTCTACCGTCCCTAAATCTGCAAGCTATCCCTGCAGCTTCTGTGTTGGCTTGTAGTGGATGCGTTGTTTTAATAGGGAAGTTCATGGATCCTGAAATCACGTGATTATAGTATGAAGTGTATTCATTATGCCCCATAGGTGTGAGGGCTGGCTCTGACTGTGCTAGACAGGCCAAGAGAGTAGATGGGTTAGGTCTCATAAGGGATAATTTCTCATGAAGAGTTACAGGATTTTAGGAAAAAACAAGGGTCATATCAGACTAGGAAAATCTAAGTCCCAGGCTATATTCCCTAGTCAAAACGGGACTATTCTTCATGCCTGAACATTTAGCAAATAAATTTTCACTGCAGCAACAAAGGAGTTAAAAGAACAAAAGCATATAAACTTTCAGAATTCTAGAGAAATCCCTCTAGATTATGTGCTAAGAGGAAGGATAGCAGAACTCCAGCCATTTCCAACCACAGGTGCCAAAAGCTTGGATCAGAGGTTAGAAAGGGAGAGTCCAGGAGCTCTTGGGTTTTTTGGTGTTTCCTAGGAGTTTGGGTTTATTTCAGAGGGGCACAGCCTCACTGCTGGGGAATGACAGCTCCAGGAGGGAAGGAACCCCTGAGCCTGGGAAAATATCTCCTGGCAGGGAGGTGCACACTCACATGCTTTCAGACCTAAAGCTTCTGGGATCTGCTTTCTAACCTTACTCTCACTAGGGCCCCTCAAGCTGCTCCCTCAGAAGTTATAGACCTCTCCAGAAACCCGAATCACATCCCATTCTTCTGTTCACTATAACTTCCAAAATGGTAGATGGACTACCCAGCATCCCTTACTGATCTACTCAGGCAACTGGAGTATAATCCACCCCCGCCCTCCAAAAACAAACTCTTGGATATAAATTTTAATTTTTACCTCTTTCTTATAGCACAGTTGATTGTACATGGCTGGCTTGGGGATTGCTTCAATTTTCACTTCCTGAGTGGAAGTTCGGTAGGAAGGGTTGCTGTAGGTCAGGTTCCCCATTGCAGGATCAGTTAACTTGGATTTTTTGTGTCTTTAGGAGAAAAAGTGATGAGAAATTAGTTCAGATCTGTATGGGGATAATATCTGGGGAAGCTGTAACCCAAGTTGTGGCAGGCAGCCTCTAAGAGGGCCCAGTGGTCCCTGCCTCCTGGTACTCACACCTTCTGAATTCCTGACCCGTGAGTGTGGGCTGGATCTGGTGACTCGCTTCTAATGAACAGAACATGCAAAAGTGAGGGATACTGGATTAGGTTACAAGGAAACTCCTAACAAGGGAACTGGTTTCTATCTTAGTTTGCCCTCTCTCCCTCCCTCCCTCCCCTCTCTCTTACTCTTGCTCTGGGGGAAGCAAGCTGCCATGTTGAAAGCTGTCCTATGGAAAGGCCCACAAGGCAACAAACTGCTGAGGGAGGCCTCTAGCCAACAGCCTGCGAGGAACTGAATCCTGTGCTTGGAAGGGAATCCTTCCCCAGTCAAGCCTCGAGATAAGACCACAACTCTGGCTGATACCTGGATTGCTGCCTTGTAAGACACCTTGAGGCAGAGGCACCCAGCTAATCTGCATCTAGATTTCTTTTTTTTTTTTTTTAATTTTATTTGTTTATTATTTTTGGCTGCATTGGGTCTTCGATGCTGTACGCGGGCTTTCTCTAGTTGTGGTGCGTGGGGGCTACTCTTCATTGTGGTGCATGGGCTTCTTATTGCGGTGGCTCCTCTTGTTGTGGAGCACGGGCTCTAGGCGCGCGGGCTTCAGTAGTTGTGGCGCGTGGGCTTCAGTAGTTGTGGCTCGCAGGCTCTAGAGTGCAGGCTCAGTAGTTGTGGCACACAGGCTTAGTTGCTCCGCGGCATGTGGGATCTTCCCGGACCAGGGCTTGAACCTGTGTTCCCTGCATTGGCAGGCGGATTCTTAACCACTGCGCCACCAGGGAAGTCCCTGCGTCTAGATTTCTGATCCACAGAAACTGTGAGATAATCAGTGGTTGTCATTTTAAGTTGCTAAGTTTCAGGGTAATTTGTTATACAGCAATAGATAACAAATACACTGAGCTTTAGAGTCAAAACAGACCTACGTTTCAATGCCACTTCTGTTACTTACTGGCTGGGGTATTGGTGGACATAATCTAAACTTCCTGAGCCTTAGATCCTCATCTGTAAAGTGAGGAATAATAATACCTGTATTACAAGGTGGTTGTGACATTGATACATATTCATTAAATGGTAGGTGTTACTATTACTGTTGTTGTTGTTAGTAGAAGCTGCTGCAGTAGCAGCAAAATCCTGACATTTTTGCTGCAAGCTGCATTTAAAGCATTTAGGAGAAAATATATACAGAGAGGGTCATAAAAGGAAGATTCTAAATTGAATACTACACATTCCACCTTCCCAGGATGGTCCCTACCGAGCAATGATGTATCTATCACCCCACATTGTAGTAAAGAGTTGTGTTTGTGTGAAGAGAAGATCATTTCCAGCTTCAGTGGTTTGAGGTAGTGTAGAGTGGTGGCAAAAGCAAAGATGCTAGAGTCAGTACCAGCTTTGCCTCTTACCGTGTGAACCTGGGTAACACCCTCTGTGTCCTTAGTATCCTAGTCTATAAGGAAAATACCAAGCGTTGCTGTGATCATGAAATGAGGAAACTACTTGGGCTGTGACTGGGGAAGAAGGGTACACATTCAGGTTTCTGCCCGTCCCTTCTGCTGCTCTTACCAGGGACCCAACTTTGAAATGAGGCTGGTCATAGGTGGAATCAGTGAGCTGTCAACTTCAGGAGGTCCCAAACGTGCTAATGGGACATACAGCAAACATACAGCCACTGCAGTGGGGCTGAGGTTACCTGTACAGCATCAAAGCCGCGATCACCACCAGAATAAGCAGAATGCTGAGGGGTCCACCGATGACATAGCTGACATGAAGTCCTTCCCCTAGGAAGAGCAGAGGGACGCTAGGTGGGGACCCCCGACAATCTTCTAGCTGGTGTGAGGGTTGGGAAGATGGAGGGCTCCTTTTGTAGCTGTTGCATCCCATACCATCTGAGGATGGCTAGGGGCCTCCTTCTCAGAGAAGAGGCCACAGCGGGAGGGGGGAGGGGGCTGAGAAGAAACCTATCACTATGTCAGCATCTCTAATCCCACTTCCACTACTTACTAGCTGTGTGACTTAAAGCAAGATGCTTAACTTCTAAGCCCGTGTTTTCTCATCAGTTAAATGTAAATAATAAATTGCTCATAGGGCTGGTGGAGATTGAAGGTGAGTGTGTATATACAAATACATATACATACAGGCATGCGCACATAAATATGGCTTAACAAGTGCCTAGCATACAGAAAGCACTCCATAAGTGGCAGCTATTATGGTTATTCTTTCTATGGATTTAGTCTAAGAAAAGGGTTCATCAACCCCAAAGAGTCCCCATGAAGGTTCTGCGAGATATCAATGGAGACTTAGGTTCCTTACATCTTGTTTTTCAAAACAGTTGGGCACTGAGGGCTTACCTGAAGCAGCAGGTACGGCCTCATTGGAATACGTGCAGAGGCCCAGCCGGGCATCCTTTTCAGAGCATCTGTGGGGCAGAGAAAACTGAATGTGAAGGCTACTTATATTCAACAAAGATCTTGCCTTCTGCCAGGAAATGGGGACAGTCCTGTGAAGGACAGGGCTAAAGGCCTGGGAGTGGGGCTTTCAGATATGAGACTACACCAGACAGGAGATAGCGGAAGCAAGGAGAGGGCAGGACAAGAAAATACAGAGAAATCAGCATGAGCCACTGTCTTCAAGATGCTATATCATGTTTAAATGTGTTTTAAAATGTGCACTCTTTTTTGTTGTTGTTTTTGGTCGTGCAGCTTGTGGGACCCCAGCTCCCTGACCAGGGATTGAACCCAGGCCCTCGGCAGTGAAAGCGTGGAGTCCCAACCACTAGACCACCAGGGAATTCCCTAAAATATGTACTCTTTAAAGAGGATTCTTTAAAAAGGAGAAGCAGGTTTGGGAGTGAGCTGCAAGAATGCTAAGGACATCAATAGCAGACTTTATTAAGCTACCAGCCAAGCAAACCTTGGATTGGATCAAGATTATCACAAGGTCTAGAGAGACTTAAAAAAAAATATTGTTTTTCTTTCCTTCATTCTTTCACAAGGGAATATGCAAGACATCCAGAGGGAGGGCTTGGATAACTAACTTGAAGTGCTGAGACGGTAACTCCTTTGTGGCACGTTATGAGCTGGCAATTAAAGACGTGTCCTAAAAGTTTAGAGAAGAGCTACCTGCAGGAGCATCTGAAACCAAGATGTACTGAGTCTTCAGATACAACTCTGATAGGAAGAAAATATCTGAGTAGGGTTCAAAAGTTTTCTAAATAAACCTGAATAAAATCAGATTAATAGTGATTGTTAGTGCTTAAAATTTAGTGAGAAAGGTACACGTTTATATCTGTTTGCTTTTCTATATAAACTCTTCTAACAAGAGAAAATGGGGCATATAGAATAAGTTTGATCATGTACAAATCTTATCATTTTAGGGACGTGAGTCTAGTGGTCTTATTTGGAATTATTACTATGTTTCTGCCTTCAGAATTGAAATCACGTGTTAATTATCTTTTAAGCTACTGTTGATATTAAAAATAATATTACAATGAAAAATGTTCTAATAGAAAAATGCCTGGGAAGATAGGCATCAGTATAGTAAGAGTAGGAAATGAAATCACTGTCTCAAAAAGATATCTGCACCCCCATGTTCAATGTAGAATTATTTACAAGAGCCAAAACATGAAAACCACCTAAGTGTCCATCAGTGGATGAATGGATAAAGAAAATGTGGTATAGGTATACAGTGGAACATTATTCAGCCATGAAAAAGAAGGACATTCTGCTAAGTAAATTAAGTCAGACAGTGAAAGACAAATACTATATGATATCACTTATATGTGGAATCTAAAAAAGAAAAAAAAAACCAACTCATAGATAAATTGATACCATACAGATTGGCAGTTGCCAGAGGTTGGGGGTGGACAAAATGAGTGAAGATGGTCAAAAGGCTCAAACTTCCAGTTATAAGATAAGTAAGTCCTGGGGATGTAACGTACATCATAGTGACTATAGTTAACAATATTGTATGTCTGAAAGTTGCTAAGAGAGTAGATTTAAAAAGTTTTCATTATAAGAAAAAAAAAGTATATATGTGTGGTGATGGATGTTAACTGGACTTACTGTGGTAACCATTTCACAATATACACATATATCAAATCAGAAAAAAACACTAAAGGTAATTACACATGAGTACTTATTTCTTTTTTACTCCTATCTGTATTTCCAGATGATTTTTTTGCAAAGTGTAAATAAAAAACATATTTATAAGACTTTCTCTAAATGGAATATAACATGATATTTCATCAATTTTAAGATGTGCATTTTTTCTATATTCTAATATCTCTGAGATAGAACTGTGTCTTACAATTAATGGCATCTCACAGTTGCTGTTGGTCATTTTTTCAGTTTAATCTCTCAAATCAGGATGCATTTTAAATTGACAGCACCTTCAGTCTAATGAAATATAATGTTTTACACTTAATTTGAGAGCCGTTCATGGTTATGCTTGCTTATTTAATAACGGGGTGTGTGTGTGTGTGTGTGTGTACACACACGCACATACATGCATGTGTGTTTGAGTGTTACAGGTCATATAAACTAAGGCCATCACATCCCTGGGGATGTCCCAAGTTAAAAAGCCACAGCCCAGAGACCACTATGACTTAGTGGCTTCTAAGTAAACTGTAGGACAAGACCACGTGCTAAACTTGTTCTGTGAGAGCAAACGTCACTGAAAGAAAGGAAGAAGGAGGAATGCCAGGCAGAAACTCCTCCTGAGTGATTTCTCTCTAAAGCTCGTCTTAAAGCCTCTTGCCTTCAGAGCTAAAAAAAAAGAATTCCTTGCAACAACCTGCAAGTCTAAATATCATCTCTAGTTCCAAGTAGCAGGGACAGGTGGCTAATGATGTGATCTACCTCCCATCTGCCAGAATCATCAAGCTGGGCCTACGGTCTTCTGCTGGCAGGGCATGGCGATTTGAATCAAAGAGCCCCCAATTCCATACTGACCCACTTACCTCCCTTCCACCTCCTCCAGAGATGTGCGGGTCCAGCTGGTAGAAGAACGCAAGGTCGTCGGTAGCGTGTTGGGTAGCACGGGGCTCCTTTCACTTACGCTGGTAGCCCTGGGAGCTGGGGGCACCAGGCCAGGTACTGGAGAGAAAACAAGGACTGGAGTGGATCACTGGAGCCACAAATATCTACATATGGTCCAAGAGTAGCATGTGGAGAACTTGATAAAGCAATTTTTTAGCTGCCCTGATCCTAGGCACCCCTGTTAGATGTCCTTCTTAATACTGTACATAAAAAGGATTTGGTTTCCAATATATATTTTTTAATAAATTTATTTATTTGGCTGCGTTGAGTCTTTGTTGCTGCTCACAGGCTTTCTCTAGTTGTGGTGAGCGGGGACTACTCTGCATTGTGGTGTGCGAGCTTCTCATTGCAGTGGCTTCTCTTGTTGCAGAGCATGGCCTCTAGGCACGCGGGCTTCAGTAGTTGTGGCACGTGGGCTCAGTAGTTGTGCCTCATGGGCTCAGTAGTTGTGCCTCACGGGCTCTAGAGTGCAGGCTCAGTAGTTGTGGCGCACGGGCTTAGGTGCACCATGGTATATGGGATCTTCCCGGACCAGGGCTCGAACCTGTGTCCCCTGCGTTGGCAGGCAGATTCTTAACCACTGCGCCACCAGGGAAGTCCCAGTTTCCAATATTAATAGCTCCGGATGGGCTAGCTGGCCCACAAAGGGCAGGAAGAGAGGATAATGCACAGGTCACAGTAGGGATCAGGGAATCAGGAGACCTGATTTCCATCCTAGTAAATGCCAGAAGCCAGACAAACCTGGGTCTGTACCATCCCAAAGCTCAAACCCATTGCTCCCAGTCACTCTGCTGTAAGAACCCCTGAGGGGAAATCTCACCCAGAAGAACAAAGCTGAGGCTGCTGATCCCCTGCCCTTCCAAGGGCTCTGCTGTTCCAGGAGGCCAATTAGTCCAACTCACCAAGGGAGCAGGGCCGGCCATCAGGCTCGTCAGGACAGGCACATACAAAGTCTGAGGCTCTGGCAAAGCAGAGGTGGGTGCAGCCGCCGTTGTTCACACCACAGGCATTGGTCCCTGGGGGCAAAGCAGATGTGAATGTCTGGCCTGGGGCAGAATCAAGTCTCCTAATTTGACACTTCTCAGAAAGGAGGAGATTCGGGGCTACCTTACTCCCAGGGACTGTGGGGCAGGAGGGGTATAACGACAGGGGGCTGAAAGGTCTAAGAACTTAAGATGTGAACCAAAAGGCTCTCCTGTGGCTCTGTCTTGGTTATTAACCGTCCTCAGGGTGACCAACCAACCCCACTAATGGTAAGGAAGCAGGCTCAGGGCCCTGGAGTCCACCTGTCTGCCGCTGAGGGGAAACCACGATGATATCCATGAGTCCCTCCACATTTGCCAACACCGTCTCCTTGTTCCGGCCTGAGTACTTGTCAACACGCTGGATTGACTTGGTCTGCCAGTCTGTCCAGTAGATCCACCTGTCCTGCTACTCAATAGGGAAACCCCAAAAAGAGTAACTATTAATAGGCAGACCCTGGTACAGCTTCCGTGCCTCAGCCCGTGTGTTCCCTCTGTCCAAATGCCCTCTTCTTCCCTTATCCATGTCAGCTCCCGTGCATCCCCAAATATGACATTATCCAGGAAATCTCCCCCAATCCATAGAGAATTCACCATTTCCTCCATGCTGCTCTGAGCTTGTCCTCACTTCCACAGGTGAGTTTCGACACTCTATGGTCATTTACTTACATGTCTATCTGTCCTGCCAGATTAAGTTCTTCAAGAACAAGAATGTGGTTCATTCATCTCTCAATTTCCAGCACTAACACTTAGTCCTCAGTCAGTTGACCCAGTGGCTCAGTGAATAAATAAATTCCTGTACCTAGCAAACAGGAGTAAATTGCGGGGGCCGGGGCGGGGGCAGTCGTTCTAGGTCCCTGTTCTTCTGGGCCCATCACTCAGAGCCCTGGCCCAAGTCCTCTGGTTACTTCTGCAGGGAGCTGCCCTCTAATGTAGAGATCCTGAGATTCTCTACCAGGGGTGGGGAAGGGCAATGTAGGTGGTTCCCCTCCCATCCCTGCAGTATACATCAGAAACCTCAGAGGAAACTTGTAGATTGAAAAACTAAATTCAATATAATCCTGTAGTTTTACATTTGGAGTACGGGGTGGGGAAAAGCCTATCATTAAGTAAAGCCAGACAAAATCTTATTGGCCGGTAGGATATAATGCAGAATACAGGTAGAGTGCATGTTTGTCAAAAAAGGACAAAGATTTTTTTTAATTGTTTTTTTTTTAAATTTACTTATTTTGTTTATTCCTTTTTTTTTTTGGCTGCATTGGGTCTTCGTTGCTGCGCGTGGGCTTTCTCAAGTTGAGGTAAGCGGGGGCTACTCTTCATTGCAGTATGTGGGCTTCTCACTGCGGTGGATTCTCTTGTGGAGCATGGGCTCTAGGCACGCAGGCTTCAGTAGTTGTGGCACGTGGGCTCAGTTGTTGTGGCTCGCAGGCTCTAGAGCACAGCCTCAGTAGTTGTGGTGCACTGGCTTAGGTGCTCCGTGGCATGTGGGATCTTCCCGGACCAGGGCTCAAACCTGTGTCCCCTGCATTGGCAGGCAGATTCTTAACCACTGCGCCACCAGGGAAGCCCGAGGGACAAAGATTTTTTTTTTTTTTAACATCTGTATTGGAGTATAATTGCTTTACAGTGTTGTGTTAGTTTCTGCTGTATAACAAAGTGAATCAGCTGTATGCATATGTATATCCCCATACATATCCCCTCCCTCTCGCATCTCCCTCCCACCCTCCTTATCCCACCCCTCTAGGTGGTCGCAAAGCACTGAGCTGATCTCCCTGTGCCATGTAGCTGCTTCCCACTAGCTATCTATTTTACATTTGGTAGTGTATATATGTCAGTGCTACTCTCTTACTTCCTCCCAGCTTACCCTTCCCCCTCCCCGTGTCCTCAAGTCCATTCTCTATGTCTGCGTCTTTATTCCTGTCCTGCCCCTAGGTTTATCAGAACCTTTTTTTTTTTTTTTAGATTCCATATATATGTGTTAGCATACGGTATTTGTTTTTCTCTTTCTGACTTACTTCACTCTGTATGACAGACTCTAGGTCCATCCACCTCACTACAAATAACTCAATTTCGTTTCTTGTTGTGGCTGAATAATATTCCATCATATGTATTTACCACATCTTCTTTATCCATTCATCTGTCGATGGACACTTAGGTTGCTTTCATGTCCTGGCTATTGTAAATAGTGCTGCAATGAACATTGTGATACATGACTCTTTTTGAATTATGGTTTTCTCAGAGTATATGCCCAGTAGTGGGTTTGCTGGGTCATATGGTAGTTCTATTTTTAGTTTTTTAAGGAACTTCCATACTGTTCTCCATGGTTGCTGTATCAATTTACATTCCCACCAACACTGCAAGACGGTTCCCCTTTCTCCACACCCTCTCCAGCATTTATTGTTTGTAGATTTTTTGATGATGGCCATTCTGACGGGTGTGAGGTGATACCTTATTGTAGTTTTGAATTGAATTTCTCTAATGATTAGTGATGTTGAGCATCTTTTCATGTGTTTGTTGGCAATCTGTATATCTTCTTTGGAGAAATGTCTATTTAGGTCTTCTGCCCATTTTTGGATTGGGTTTTTTTTTGATATTGAGCTGCACGAGCTGCTTGTATATTTTGGAGATTAATCCTTTGTTAGTTGCTTTGTTTGCAAATATTTTCTCCCATTCTGAGTGTTGTCTTTTCATCTTGTTTATGGTTTCCTTTGCTGTGCAAAAGCTTTTAAGTTACATTAGGTCCCATTTGTTCATTTTTGTTTTTACTCTAGGAGGTGGGTCAAAAAGGATCTTGCTCTGATTTAAGTCATAGTTTTCTGCCTATGTTTTCCTCTAAGAGTTTTATAGTGTCTGGCCTTACATTTAGGTCTTTAATCCATTTTGAGTTTATTTTTGTGTATGGTGTTAGGAAGTGTATTTTTAAATTAATTTATTTATTAATTTATTGATTGATTTTTGGCTGCACTGGGTCTTTGTTGCTGTGCATGGGCTTTCTCTAGTTGTGCTGAGCAGGGGCTACTCTTCGTTGCGGTGCACAGGCTCTAGGTGCGCGGGCTTCAGTAGTTGTGGCACGTGGGCTCAGTAGTTGTGGTTCGCAGGCTGTAGAGCACAGGCTCAGTAGTTGTGGCACACAGGCTTAGCTGCTCCACGGCATGTGGGATCTTCCCGGACCAGGGATTGAACCCATGTCCCCTGCGTTGGCAGGTGGAATCTTAACCACTGCGCCACCAGGGAAGTCCAGGAAGTGTTCTAATTTCATTCTTTTACATGCAGCTGTCCAGTTTTCCCAGCACCACTTATTGAAGAGGCTGTCTTTTCTCCATTGTATACTCTTGCCTCCTTTATCAAAGATAAGGTGACCATATGTGCGTGGGTTTATCTCTGGGCTTTCTATCCTGTTCCATTGATCTATATTTCTGTTTTTGTGCCAGTACCATACTGTCTTGATTACTGTAGCTTTGTAGTATAGTCTGAAGTCCAGGAGCCTGAGTCCTCCAGCTCTATTTTTCTTTCTCAAGATTGTTTTGGCTATTCAGGGTCTTTTGTGTTTCCATACAAATTGTGCAATTTTTTGTTCTAGTTCTGTGAAAAAATGCCATTGGTAGTTTGATAGGGATTGCACTGAATCTGTAGACTGCTTTGGGTAGTACAGTCATTTTCACAATGTTGATTCTTCCAATCCAAGAACATGGTATATCTACATCTGTTTGTATCATCTTTAAGTTCTCCCATCAGTGTCTTATAGTTTTCTGCATACAGGTCTTTTGTCTAGGTAGGTTTATTCTTTGGTATTTTTTTGTTGTTGTTGCAGTGGTAAATGGGAGTGTTTCCTTAATTTCTCTTTCAGATTTTTCATCATTAGTGTATAGGAATGCCAGAGATTTCTGTGCATTAATTTTGTATCCTGCTACTTTACCATATTCACTGATTAGCTCTAGTAGTTTTCTGGTAGCATCTTTAGGATTCTCTAAGCATAGTATCACGTCATCTACAAACAGTGACAGTTTTACTTCTTCTTTTCCAATCTGGATTCCTTTTATTTCTTTTTCTTCTCTGATTGCTGTGGCTAAAACTTCCAAAACTATGTTGAATAATAGTGGTGAGAATGGGCAACCTTGTCTTTTTCCTGATCTTAGAGGAAATGGTTTCAGCTTTTCACCATTGAGAATGATGTTGGCTGTGGGTTTGTCATATATGGCCTTTATTGTGTTGAGGTAGGTTCCCTCTATGCCTACTTTCCGGAGAGTTTTATCATAAATGGGTGTTGAATTTTGTCAAAAGCTTTTTCTGCATCCATTGAGATTATCATATGGTTTTTATCCTTCAGTTTCTTAATAGCTGTATCACATTGATTGATTTGCATATATTGAAGAATCCTTGATTTCCTGGGATAAACCCCACTTGATCATGGTGTATGATCCTTTTCAGGTGCTGTTGGATTCTGTTTGCTAGTATTTTGTTGAGGATTTTTGCATCTATGTTCATCAGAGATATTGGCCTATAGTTTTCTTTTTTTGTGACATCTTTGGTTTTGGTATCAGGGTGATGGTAGCCTTGTAGAATGAGTTTGGGAGTGTTCCTCCCGAGGGACAAAGATTTTTAAATGATTGAGAATCCCTGTTTTGGCCCCAAGCTTGGTATACCTTTTTTCCTTTCTTGAATTATTATACAGGGTTAGAACTCTAAAATAGTGACAGCTAATACTAAATAAAACGATTAGAAATAACACGCACTGAGTGCCAGATACTCTGCTAATGCTTTGTGTATATTTCAGGAGGATACTATTATTTTTTGTTTTTTGTTTTTTGCGGTACGTGGGCCTCTCACTGTTGTGGCCTCTCCCGTTGTGGAGCACAGGCTCCGGACGCGCAGGCTCAGCGGCCATGGCTCACAGGCCCAGCCGCTCCGCAGCGTGTGGGATCTTCCTGGACTGGGGCACGAACCCGTGTCCCCTGCATCGGCAGGCAGACTCTCAACCACTGTGCCACCAGGGAAGCCCGATGCTATTATTAAACTCATTTATTTTATAAGTAAGTGAAGCTTAGAGAAGTTCACTCTCTTGTCAAAGTTGCATAGTTACTTCATGACACAGGCAGAACTTGAACCCACGGAGCTGGCTCATGGGAGGTACTCACTCAGTAAACAATTACCGACCGGCTACCTGCCTCAAAACTCTGGCTCTCAGCCACTCCACACCTCTGCCCACTAAAGTAAGCTGCCTGAGCTTGCATGCTGGGACCACAGCACTGGGATCAACTGGGGAACTTGTTAAAATGAATATTCCTTGCCCAACCCTCAGGAGGCAGATTCTTTATATCCAGTGCCCGGGAATATGCATTTTAACAAGTTCCACAGTTGACTCCGTACAGCTGTTTGAGAGCCACTCCTTCGAATGTTAGAACATGGGACAGCTGGAGCAGCAGGGCACAGAGTGGCAAGGCTTCAGTGTACAAGAATCACCCCTAAAATGAGCTTCCATAGCAAACCTGTTCAGTAGCACCTGGGGCTGAGGCTGCTGATGCAGAACCCCGAGGAAACACCCCTGTCAAGGAGGTTTAGTTACCTCCCTCCTGAGCCAGTACCTGAGTGAGAGCAAAGGGGTGCGACACGTGGCTGACCAAGACCTGCCGGAGCTTCCCACTGAGGTCGGCGCTCTCAATCCGGTCCAGATGGGCATCCACCCAGTAGATCCTGTAAAGGAAAGGAGAAAAGGCAGCTGCTGAAGACACTTGCCAGGTAGCCCAGCCCTGCCCTCAGGGAGCTAGCTGTCCCCTCCTGAGCTGAACTGGCAGGTGCTGTGAGCAGTCAAGTTGACTTGATGAGAGGTCACTGGGAATCCCCAAGCTGAAGAGCAGAACTTGGTTGGTGACTCATAAGTGGGGAGGCCAGGGCTGTTCTGCAGAGGGTAGAAATCTAGTGACCTCGGAGGAGCCAGCCCCCAGTCTCATCTTCAACGACTTGATAACCCTTTGACTCCTACCCAAGAATCAAAGCCCAAATTCTTGTGAACGCCCTTCAAGAAGAGACTCAGTCTACAAAGAGCTCAGTGAAGTTAACGGAAGAAGGCATTCCTCTTCTCCAGTCCAACTCTCCAGGTGACTTTGATTCCCTTCCCTTCTTCTGAGAGCAGAAAGGAGAATTGACTGCTTTGGAGCCTCTTCCTCCCTCTTCTCCTGCCCTCCAGTATTTTTAATCTAGATCAGGAGTTGCAAATTCCAATACCTGATGGGGTCAGGAGAGCAACAAATGCAAAGAATCAGTTAACTGGATGGGGGGTAGTGGGATCTGTGGTCCAGCCAGAGGACATGCTCTGCTAAAGCATTCAAATGAAAAACATGTAAACCAGATAATCCCCGCCGGAGGGTTGAGTGCTGGATTCAGCAACACCTGCTCCAAGAATTTGTGCCCTCATACTTCTCACTGCTCGCTTTTCCCTACCTACCAAGGAGCTTTCTACTTGTTCGTTTTCACTACTTCAATCTCAACCACCCTCTCCTCTGCCCACCTGATTTCCAGGAGGCTGTCTGGGACAGGATTCCCACCTGCGGGTATCATAGTCCAGGGTAAGGCCATTGGGCCAACCCAGGTCTGTGTTGATGAGGACCTTCCGCTCAGAGCCATCCAAGTTCGCCCGTTCAATCTTGGCAATGTGGCCCCAGTCTGTCCAGAAGAGGTACCTGGGACACAAGAGTGCCATCAGCAAGGCATGGGAAGATGGCACCCAGAGGTCGAGAGAATACAGGGACACCCAGATACCATTAATATACAGGCATCTTTCAAGAGCCTCTTCATCAGGCCCTTCTTCCCTGGGTCTCTTTTCTGCTGGCCAAAAACTTACCCCTTCCTGGGGAAAACGGCAATGGCCCGAGGTTCATCCAGGCTGTTGTTAATCAGCACTTTGCGGCAGGAACCATCTAGCCTCGATGCTTCAATGGTATTTCGGCCTGTATCTGTCCAATACAGATTCCTGGCCACCCAGTCCACTGCCAGCCCATCGGTGGTCTTCAGCCCACGCCCGATCACCGTCTCCATGTTGCTGCCATTCAGATCCGCTCGCCTTGGGGAACAGCCCAGGGTTGGATGACTGACCAGATCAGCAATAGGCTGATACCCCTTTCATCCGTGTTCCCATAATTGGATTCCCACTACACTGTAAGCTCCATAGGGGCAGGGACCAAGTATTTGTAAGTACATGCCTCAGCATCTAGCACAGTAGGTATTCAAAATATCTGCCAAATTGAATAAATTATTGGGAGGACAGAGTGTTTCCTGCTGTAAGTAGGGGGCATTTGGGCCCATGTCTTGCCGAAAGACAGGTTAATAAACCCCATTACACCTTAAGGAGGAGACAAGGATTGCTAGATAGTGATTATGAGAAAGGGCAGATTTTTCCAAAATCTACTGTGCATTTTTATAGCAGTCCTACACCAGGGAATTCAACCTCAGGATGGGGGGCATGTCACAAATACACGGGGGACTTTTGTAAACTACCTATGCCCACCAGCTCCCAGATTCTAATATACCCCTCAGGGAGAACAAAAGGGAATGCTCCTGTTCTTCTACATGAGAATCTCTGCCATGGTAAAACCCTCTAACTGGTGACAGGGTACCACATTCCTCAGCTGTGTCGGGGTAAAAAATTGGAATAAATAAAACAAAAAATATTAAAAAATAAAACCCAACACAACCTTGTAAATAACCATAAGCCTTGGCATTTGGCCAGCGTTCCTGCATTATAATACAGATACTTGGTTTGGCTACATGGCCAACTGATCAATGAGTCTTAGAGGATCACTGGAGCTCCTGCAGAGCCCAATGGTAGAGGTAGAAAGCTCCGGGTCCCCAGCCTGACTTTATCTGTTTGTTTTACATACTGGGCTTCTATTAATCTTTTTTTGTTTAATATTTATTTATTTATTTGGCTGCGCCGGGTCTTAGTTGCGGCATGTGTGTGGGATCTAGTTCTCCGACCAGAGATGGAACCTGGGCCCCCTGCACTGGGAGTGTGGAGTCTTAGCCACTGGACCACCGGGGAAGTCCCTATTAATCTTTAAATAGATAAATTCCCTGGCGGTCCAGTGGGTAGAACTCCGCACTTCCACCACAGGGGACACAATCCCTGGTTGGGAAATCCCACAAGCCGAGTGGCGTGACCAGAAAAAAAAAAATCTTGAAACACTTCATAATCTTTAAATAAACGAAAGAAAACAAAAGTTTGAAACTCTGCTGTAAGTGATAACATTATAAAGCATACAGTTCAGGGTCAGAACTCACTATCCAAGTTGCGGAATCACTTAGTCCATTTAGAGGTCAACACAGATAATAACCTCACCTATCAAAGGTCAGAAGCAGGTCTGTGTCTTCTAGAGGTCTCGGGGACCCTCATACCTGATAACATCCAGGAACACATCTGTGTAATAGACCTTTCCATCCACACTGTCATAATCCAGGGAGATGACATTGTTGAGCTCAGGAACGGGCACGTGCACATCTGTGTGGTCGCTGGTGTCCAGTGAGATACGCCGGATGGAGCCGCGGCTGGAGAAGAGCAGGTAGGTCTCAGGAGAGGGGTCACAGGTCTTCCCATCTCCCTTCAGCTGGATGCCAGTGGGGCAGGCACAGGAAAAGCCAGAGGGCCGAGGCAGGCAGAGGTGAGAGCAGCCACCATTTCTCAAACTGCACTTGTTAAAACCTGAGAAAGAGAAGCATGAGTTTTGACACCCAGCCTGGAATATGGTCTGAATCTTATAAAAGGCCCTAGTTTTTTGTGCCTGATTGTCTGCTATTCTACATAACAGGATTCAGTGCCTGGCAGGGAAGAGGCAGAAGGAGCAGGGGTGTCTCCAGGAGTCCTTTGAGGGTGACAGCACCCTGCTGTTGCAGTACCAGCCATACCCAGAGGGAACACAGCCTGATCCTGCAAGGGGGCTTAGGCAGGTCCCTGTCTCTCGGGTTGTAAAGGCATCTCTGTGCTCTGGATATATCTCTGATGTTGAGATACCCCCAGGAAGTCAGAGGCTCTGGCTTACAGCCCTAGGGGTCTTCTCACCCAGTGGCTGTGCCCTGTCCACAGCCTGGATGTCCATGAGGCCTGGCAGGTTGGACCTCACCAGGATGACATTGCTGCCAGTACCCTTGTCGGCACGGTGGATGCTACGGGTCTGCCAGTCAGTCCAGTAGATATAGGAGTCGAGCAGGGTGAGGCCATATGGGTGCTGCACAGGTGACACCAGGGTGTGCCGACTGGCACCATTCAGATCAGCAGCCTCAATTCGCTGTAGAGGAAGAAGAGGGTGAGGGGTGGCTATCAGAAGACTGGGAGCCCTCAGCGGAGATCCCAAGTAGGCCTCTCCCATATCCCCAGGCTTCTGCAAAGCAGCAGGAGCAAGACCCTCACCTCCGTGTGGGCATCAGCCCAGAGCAGCTGGGAGCTGGCCTTGTCCACAGTCAGTCCATTGGGCCACCCTAGGTTGTTGCTAATGAGCACGGTGCGGTCTGAGCCATCCATTCCAGACCGCTCTAACTTGGCATTCTCCCCCCAGTCTGTCCAGTACATGAACCTGGGCAAGAAACAATACTAGCTGGTTATCTCCACAGTTCCTGTATACTGTGAGCACTTAGCAATATGCCAAACACTGTGAAAAGTAGCTACATGCACAAAAGGGAGTTGTTGCTTAATGAATACAGAATTTCAGATTTGCAAGACGAAAAAGTTCTGGAGATCTGTTTCACAATAATGTGAATATACTTAACACTACTGAACTGTACACTTAAAAATGGTTCAGACGGTAAATTTAATGTTATGTTTTTTACAATTAAAAAAAAGTACTTTCCATGCATTATCCCACTTAATCCTCACAAGGTCCACAGGCATGCATTTTCATTATCGGCTCCGTTTTAAAGGCAAGGAAGTGGAGGACCAGGGAGGTTAAATATTGGACCCAAAGTGACAGACGCAGCTAATAAATGGTGAAGAAATTTGAATCCTGGATTTCTGATTCTGAGGGTCATGCTTTTAACCTCTACACTATACTGCCACCCTGAAAGAAGTCACAAGGAAGTGGAAGTGCCCCAGAGAGGTCAGTCTCAGTGCTCCTTTGAAGCACGCTTGCTCTCCACTGGCCCCCTTCGCCCCAGCTGAGCCAGCCCATCCCGCAGCCTGGAGCCACAGAGCTGCTCTCACCCCATCTCGTGGTACAGTACAATGGCACGGGGGCTGTCAAGGTTCTGCCACACCAACACCTTCCGCATGGACCCGTCCAGGTTGCCCACTTCAATCCGGTTGGTTCCTGTGTCTGTCCAGTACACTTTCCGGCCAATGGCATCCACTGCGAGCCCATCTGTGGTCTGCAGCCCTGCAGGAAGTCAAGACAGCACACTGGCTCCTGCCTTAAAACAGATGGGATATCTCCCCCAGCTCTGTAGCCAGACAGGTGGTCCCCGGGCTGGGAGCAAGGCCCACCTGTGGTGATGATGTCCTCGTGCTGTGAGCCATCCAGATTGGCACGGCTGATCCTGTGCAGCGTGCTGTCTGACCAGTACACTTTTCCTGGAAAGGGAAGCCTTGGCTCAGCCTGGACTTTCACCCTGCCCCCCAAAGGAACACACACAGCTAACATGCCCTGAGACACCAGGGCATGTCAGAGAGCCCTATACCCCTGAGCAGAGGATATCAAGGGAAATACAGAAATATCATAGCAGGATAGCTCTTGGCAGAGATGAAGAAGAAGGCCCCCAAACCCCATGCCCTCATAACCAAAGAGAAAGTGCTATAGAGATGGGGCAGGGGTCGTGCCAGAGGGAACGGGGAGCCCCCAGGCTCTTACCAGGAGGCAAAGGTGGTGGGAAAGCAAGGGCAGCAGTTGCTGTAAGGCAGGGACAGTGGGCCAGGAGAGAAGGGAGGGCCACACAGACCTTCCTGGGGATCCACTCCAATGGCAATGGTGTTCTTCATGGTAATGTTGATTGGTACCACCACATCGGCAAAATAAGGGATGTCCAAGGAGACCATGCGTATGTCTATCCTCCTGGCGAAGATGAGGAAACTGTTCATGCCTGCCCAGGTGGGGAGAGAAGGAAAGAGGACAGTCATCCTAGCACAGCCGTTAAGAAGATTTGGAGTAAGGCAAACTGAAGTTCATGCCCTGTCTCCATTAGTTTCTAGTTTTGTGATCCTGGGCACATTATTTAAATTGTTTAAGGCTCACTTTCATCATCTGTAAAATGGGGACAATAACAGGGTGGCTGTAGGAATAAAAGAGATCACGTACGGAAAACCCTTAGCATTGGGTCTGATACATAGTCATCACTCTTTATTAATATCATGAAAATGAATCTCTTTGAAAGACCTTTTACCATGAAGTTTAAGAAACTTCATGTTAGGTGAAGGAGGGCTTTACCTACAACCTGTGAAGCACAATTCAGAGCTCCTTTCTTGCTCTAATTCCCCAGGAAGTTAGGGTTCAAATGCAGCCTACCATGCAGCAGCCCCTAGGGAGAAACCTCAACATCCAACATCTGGGCAGCCAGGTCCTGCTTCTAAGACCTTTCAATTAAGGTTATACGAAGGTTGTGCTGGTTGTGTGTACTCACAAAAGTGCCATTTCCAAAGGAGGTACCATCAAATTGTAGATATCATATGTTCTAGTATTTACTATACCGATTTTGGGCAGAAGGAACAAAACTGACTTGTTCTAACCGAACCAGTATATTATGACAATTTCCCAACAGATAAAAGTAAAGTGTCTGAGAAAGGAGCATCTTTTTCTAATATGCATGAAGACACCATGAGACCTAGTTGGATCCTACTTCTAATCCTGTCTACCTGCTCCTCTGGGCCTCTTCTTTTTTCTAAAAGCTTCATCTCGCCCCTAAGCCTCTAGAAGCTTAGGTTTCTCAGACCACACCAGAGTCCACTTGCAGGGAAGAAAGAGAGCCACTGCTCCTCCCAGAGAGGCTCTATCTAGGTCTGTGATGCTTAGACCTACCTGGTGAACAGGTCTTGCCATCAGGCATCAGGTTGATGCCTGTGGGGCAGGTACAGCTGAAGGCACTTGGATTTGGGGACCGAAGACACAGGTGGCTGCAGCCGCCATTCTCCGTAGCGCATGGCGTGGACACTGGGTGGAGAGGAATGGGTCAATGAGAAGGACCATTGCAGAGGGAAGCAGAGGAGAAGCAAGTGTGGGCCAAGGGCTGCTTACCTGGGGGTCGCCGGCGGTGGAAGACGTGGATGTCCATGAGGTTTTCCAAGTTCTCCTGCAGGGTCTCCCGGTCCAGTCCCGTCAGCCGGTCGGCACTCTGAATACTCTTGGTCTGCCAGTCAGTCCAATAGATGCGCTCTCCATAGAGGGTCAGCCCAAATGGGTGGGGCAGCTGGCTTCCAATCAGTACCTGCCAGGGACCCAGCACTTGTGTCATGCCCCAGCAAGTCCTGACAGTACAGAGCAGTGGTCAAGGGCTCAGGTGAGGAGGCAGGATGCAGCTCTGCCAGTACCACCTGCTGTGTGACCTTGAGCTAGAGCTGGTTATAAAATCTGAGCCTTGGTCAGCCAATCTGTGATATGATCGTGACAGTGCCTGGCTCCAAGGGTTGCGTGATGATTGTAAAAGATCATGTATTATTTATATAATCTCAAAGTGTCTCTGCACAAATTACTTATTAATTACAAAAGGAGAAATAGCAACTTCACAGTGGACACCACCTTAACTGTACCACCAAAGTTGGTATCACAATGATGGGACAAGCTGACATCGGTGGCTACTGATAAGACACATTGAAAACTCAGGACACAACTTTACTTACTGTAGTATTTCTGCCCCAAATGCATAATCTGAACTTAATCATAAGGAAACATCAGACAAACTGAGGGACATTCTACAAAATAACTGGCATTTACTCTTTAAAGATACAAAGATCAGGAAAGACAAAGACAGGCTGAGGAAATGTTCCAGATTAAAGAGACATGATTACTAAAAACAACTGTGATCTGGGATTGGATCCTGGACTAAAAAAGAAAAATGAAAAAAAAAAAAGCTATAAGGACATTATCGGGGCAATTGGTGGTGAAATTGAATATAGACTGTGATTAGATAGTAATATTGTATCAATGATAAATTTCCTGGTATTGATCATTATATTGGGATTATGCAAGACAATGTTCTTATTCTTAGGAAATATGCACTGGACTATTTTGGGTTCAACGGCAGGATGTCTCCAATTTAATCTCAGATGGTTCAGAAGAATTGTGTGGTGTGTGTGTGTGGACAGAGAGAGAATAAGAATGATATAACAATGTGGCAAAGCACTGAGTAGAGCTCCCTGTGCTATACAGTAGGTTCACCTTGCTGTACAGCTGAAACTAACACAACATTGTAAAAACACAACATTGAACTAACTATACTCCAATGAAAATTAATAAAAAATTATCTTCAAAGTTGCTAACAAAAAAAAAACAATGTGGCAAAATATTAGTTATTTTGCACAAAATATTAACTAATATTAGTTATTGGTTCTTTTTACTATTCTTTTTTTTTTTTTTTTTTTTTTTTGTGGTATGCGGGCCTCTCACTGTTGTGGCCTCTCCCATTGCGGAGCAGAGGCTCCGGACGCGCAGGCTCAGCAGCCATGGCTCACGGGCCTAGCTGCTCCGCGGCATGTGGGATCTTTCCGGACCAGGGCACGAACCCGTGTCCCCTGCATCGGCAGGCGGACTCTCAACCACCGCGCCACCAGGGAAGCCCTCTTTTGACTATTCTTACAACTTGTCTGTAGGTTTGAAATTATATCAAAATAAACAATAAAAACAAAGAGAGAAAGAGGTCATGGGCCCAGTATGCAACTGGTGATTAATTAGCATTAGTGTTGATGGTTATCAGGAAAGCACTTATACCCCCAGACCACAAGCCCTATGATCCCTAGTTTCCTTTCTTCATCAAGGAGCAGGGACCCCGGGCTCTGGGGCACAGCCGCAGTTTCAGAGAAATAGCAAATGCACCATGCTGGATCACCCCTAGGCTTCCCTGGGTCCTGTTAGCTGCCAGCCAGGAAGCGCCACCCTGGAGGCTGTCACGGCTGTGGGAGGATGCCTTAGCGCCACCCTTACCTTCCTTTTGCTGCCATCCAGTCCGGCAAATTCAATCGTCTTCATGCCGGCATCAGCCCAGTATAGCCGCTGGGACCCATAGTCAATGGCTAATCCATTAGGCCACGTCAGATTAGAAGAGATGATGACCTGACGACCTGAGGCATCCATGCCAGCTCGTTCAATCTTGGGGCTTGCACCCCAGTCCGTCCAATACATGTACCTGGGCACAGGCAAGGGAGGTCTTACAAGCTTTCCAGTTAATACCCAGTGGGGATTCAGGGTTCCTAGGGTTTGAGGGTTTCTGCTTGCTATAGCTACCCCAGCCTCTTGCCTCAGTTCCCAGCCCCCTTCTGGGTTCTGGTCTTGTATCTCACATCCCTATCAAAAAGTACCCGAGGATCTTAAATGTTTCCTTAACTGGATGGGTTAAATAATTACGGTATATCAACTTAACAGAATTCTATATAACCATCAAGAAGAAAAAAATAGATCTATATAATCAAATGGAAAGATAGCTAAGATATATAGCCAAGTGAAAACCCAAGTTACAGAAGAGTATGCCATTGTTGTCAAACCAAAACCATCACCTCCACCGCTACATGTACGCATACACATAGAAGAAAATCTGGAAAAAATACCCTAAACTGTTAACCACAGTTTTTTTTGGAGAGTGAGATTATAGGGAATCTTCACTTTCTACAAACTTTAAAAAAAACAACAACAATGGATTACTTTGGTAAGCAGACCAAAAAGCCAACCAAACAAACCAAAAAACAGAAAAAGAAAAAAAATTTTAAATGTAAAAGGTTTCCTTGTCCATGAAGGAGACAGAGTTGTCATGATGCTCTGTGGTTTCTATAGCTGCTCTTGCTTCCTTGGTGCGCCCGTGAGATCTAGCCACTCTCTCTAACCTCCAGACTCCCGCCTAGTACTCAGATCTGGGGGTGGGGGGAACTTGTTCCAAAGGGGCTGGTGCTCACCCGCCCATGGGTTCCACTACGATGTCTCGGGGACGATCAAGGTTTTCCCAGATGAGTACTGTTCTCATGCTGCCATCTGTGTTGGCCACTTCAATCCGGTCTGTCCCTACCAAGCAGTAAGGGGCAAAGACATTAACTAGTCTTGGTCATTCACCCTCTTACCTCCCATGCCCAGCACAGAGCACGGCATGTCGTAGATGCTCAAGAAATACTTTGTGATAAATGCGCAATGGATATTTAGTGAATTGAATTTCAAGAAGGAATTCAAGGAAGAGATCAGTTCCATTTCGTGGAAGAGTAAGGCTTCCTCAACCCAAGCAACCCACTCTGTCCTATAATCTAAGGCAATGCTTCTCAAACTTTAGTGTGCACAAAAACCAGAAGAGCTTGTGAGAGTAGAGATTCCTGAACCTAACCCCCCGAAGATTCCAATTCAGCAGGTCTGACGTGGGGCCCAAGAATATGCGTTTCTACCAAGTTCCCAGGTGATGCTGATGCTGATCCTGCTGGGAACCACACTTTGATAGCTCTGGTTTAAGGCATTCCCCTTACCTCCCACATTTAACTGCCTAATAGAAAATGCCTCTTTTACGAAGACAGTGATGGAAGGAAAACCACGGGGCGTAGGTTCCTTATCTGAAATGACGCAAAGCATTCTCAAGCATAAGCTGCACAGCAGGAGCAGCCGCCACTTGAATAGCAAATGCCCACCTCAGACGTGAGCTGCTAACTTCAGCTCTGCAGCAGCCCAACCACTCCTGACCTACCAAGGACTTCAGGTCAAGACAGAAATGGTCTAGGAGGGGCACTGGGCCCTTTGTACCCGAGGCCAGGGGTTTAAATAAGAGGATCCCAGAGAGCCAGGCCATAGCTGCCCTCTCCATACCTGCATCTGTCCAGTACAGCTTGTTGGTGACCCAATCAATGGCCAGGCCTGCTGGGCTCTCCAAACTGGTATCCACTACCACCTAGGCAGGAAGCAAAGCTGTGTCACCAACTGGACTTACACCCCAGCTCTGGGGCCCAAACTCCACCAATTCACAGGCTGGCAAAGGTAGGGGAAGCCCTTACCCAGGAGAAGGTAAATTCCATCCCTCAATCTCTGCCCTCCCCGGGGGGCCTGGGCCCACGCTGGGACCTACCTCCTGTCCTGTTCCATCCCACTTGGCCCTGCTGATGGTGTCAGTGCTGACATCCGTCCAGTACACGTGGTCATCCCGGGAGTCCCAGTCAAGGGCCACAGCACTGCGCACGTCAGCCAGTGGGATGACATCATCGGACAGGTCCTCTGTGTCGAAGCTGATCCGACGGATGTCCATCCTTCGGGCAAAAAGCAGGAACTTGTCAAGACCTGATCAAAGGCCGAAAGGGGTCTTCTTTTAATGCTCTAAATCCAGTAACAATGACAGACACAGACGCTCACCTGTGTGACATCTGGTTCAATCACACTTCCTGGGGTCTGGTGCCCTTTGTCCCCTACTCTTCACACCTCAGGCCCCCTTTAAGCATCGGGCAGCCCGTGCTGGCACAATCAGACTTTAAGATCCAATGGAAGTAGACTCGACCGGGGCCCAGAGGTGCATCCTGTTTAAGCGTCTGTCAGCTTCATCTCAGCTTGCCTCTCCTGTTACTTTGCTCAGGCTCCTCTGGTGTACTGGCTAAGTCACTGTCAACCCCACCCTGCCTCTCTGCCTCCGTGTCCGCTTCAGGACTTCTGCTCCACTCCGTCATCTAGATCCCTTCTTCTTGCTCTTCATGACTTCAGCCAATAATGACTATTTGCAGAGCACTTACTCCTTGCCAGGCACCGAGCTTGGTGCTTTTCTTGCCTTGTCTCCTTTACCCTCATAACAACCCTTTGTGGTTCATGCCATTTTTTTTTTTGGTTCATGCCATTTTTATTCCCATTCTCTGGATAAGCAATCCTGAGGCTAACAGCGGCCAAGTAACTGGTCCAGGATCCCACAGCTACAAAGCACCGAAGCAGGGACTTGAACTCAGGTCTGACTCCAGAGATGGAGCTCTGGCCACACCTCTATAGAGCTTCTTCCCAGCTGGCTCTTTTCCATCCCCTGCCCCTATTCTGGTCTGTCTGAATATTTCCCCATATACTATTCTGCTTGGAAAGGCACTTCCTGCCTAACTTTATCAGCTATCTTCTTTTAAGCTCTGGGAAACCTTTAAGGGGAAGTTCCTTGCATCTCATTAAGACAATCTGGGAATAGCTGGGCACAAAAGAAGGCAAGGAAATGAGGTTCTCAATCAAAGTGTTGAATGACCACTGCCCCTGTTCCTCTGAATAGTTTTCCTAATTTCACTCTCTGGAAAAGACCTAGATCCCAAGAGAAATCTGATTTGAACCAGAGATAAGAGGATCAGTGGGCATACAGCAGTAAATGAGAAGAGCTGTGATGTGTGAGGAATTACCCCAGCCCCTTGCTGGTTGTGCTATACACCTGGATCATTCTTCTCTGGACTATTCTTAGGAAAAAGCACCTGCACCACTGAGCTAGACAAGGCCACCCTCTCAAGGCAATACACCTTCAGGAGCTCAAAGGAAGCCAGAGTAGCAGTTCAGGGAGCCCCCTGGGAATCCCATTATCTTTCACTCACTAGGCACTTATTTATCCAGGGCTTATGTATGCAGAGCACCATCAGAAGTCCTAATCTTACTCTATGGTTTAGGGGCTGAGAGAAAGTCTGTAACAGGGTGAGGCTAAAGGTAAAGAGCTAGGAAGCCATTCCCCTGCTTTGTAGAAGGGCCTAGAACCCTCTTGCTGCCTACAGACAAAGCATCCTGGGTGAAATGATACACAAGCCTGGCTGCAGGAGTTCATACTTGACTGGGTGGTGTCGCTGAGCCTTCAGGGACTACTGCTGGGCCCTCAGCCCTCAGCTTTTTTTTTTTTTTTTTTTTGCGGTACGCGGGCCTCTCACTGTTGTGGCCTCTCCCGCTGCAGAGCACAGGCTCCGGACACGCAGGCTCAGCGGCCATGGCTCACGGGCCCAGCCACTCCGCGGCATGTGGGATCTTCCCGGACCGGGGCACGAACCCGTGTCCCCTGCATCGGCAGGCGGACTCTCAACCACCGCACCACCAGGGAAGCCCAGCCCTCAGCTTTGACATGGGAGCCCTCAGCCTCTTACATTCTTCCTCTCCAGGGGCTACCTGAGGAGGCCGGCTCCTCCCCACAACTGGCAATCCCTGAACTCCTATCCCTTGTTCCTTCCACCCACCCTCACAAGGCATGTCCATTGAGGCAGGTGCCCTAGACCCACTTACTCTGGGCACAGGCGTGGCTGCTGATCTTGCGGAAGCCAGTGGGGCAGGCACAGGTGTAGTTCTGTCCACTGGGAAGACACAGGTGGGTGCAGCCTCCGTTGTTGTCCCCACAGCGGTTTTTCCCTGCTCAAAAAGCCCAGAGCAAGAAGGTCGGGTAAGACCAAAGGTTGGGAGAAGCGGTCCCAAGACTAGTGAGTAGTGGTTTAGCAAGGGTATGAGTTCCCTCAAGGGAGGAACTACGCCTTATTATTTTTTATATCTGCCCCACCTGTGAGCAGAGTGAATACCTGACACACAGGAAATGTCTGCATGAATTAGATGGGGACAGTGAAATTGAAAGTCCTTCATGAGTCTCAACGTTGTACTGCCCTAAATTTCCAGCAGAGGGAGGGATTCGCCCACATCAGTGCTAATCTCAAATTTCCCCGCGAGAAACAACGGCAACTGTGACAGGTGCAAGGAAGGCTCTCAGAAGCACTGGAGGCCCACCAGGTGGGCGGTTTTTTACCTGCAGGCTGGCGCTGGGGGTGCAAGGTGTGGATGTCCATGGGGAAGTGCAGTTTGTTGCGAATGATCTCCTGGTTCTTGCCAGTAAACTTGTTAGCACTATTGATGCTCTTGGTGTGCCAGTCTGTCCAGTACAGGCTATCTTCAAACACGGTGATGGCAAAGGGATGTGGGAGGCCTGGGGGAAAGCCCAGGATGACCTCAGTCTAGACATGGCCTGCCTGGCCCCTGGGCCCAGGCCCAGCAACTGTACAAATCTCACCCTCTGCCAAGGCTCCTGGGGGCTGGGACAGTGGAAGTAGGATGAGAGATAAAGGAGAGTGAAGGGAGGGCCTCACCCTGGCTAATGACAGCCTTGCGGTGACTCCCGTCCAGATTGGCCCTCTCGATGACGTGGTGCTTAGCATCCACCCAGTACATACGACGCCCGGCATAATCAATGGTGAGGCCGTTGGGCCAGAAGAGATGGGTATCGGCGATGATGCGGCGTCCAGAGCCATCCATGCTGGAGGCCTCGATGCGGGGGGTGTTGCCCCAGTCTGTCCAGTAAATGGTACTGGAAATAGAAAAAAGGACATTGCGAGGAAGGCAGTAGAGGGGGGGTAAGTACCCAGGATAGTAATCAGGCAGGGGGCTTTTATTGGTTTAAACCATGTGACTCCAACTGTTAGGAGACACATTGTTTGGTCTGCAGAGCATTTTTTCAATATTTGAATTTAAATGTCTCTAGACAGGGCATGTATTCATTTAACAAAAAAAATTTTGGAGTACCTGCTACGAGCAGGGCATATCTATCTTGGGTATTGGGAGTGCAGCAGTGAACAAAACAGACAAAAATCCTGACCTTGTGGAACTGACAATACACTAGTGTGATACGACTTAGGACAAGCACTTTCTTCTTTGTCACAATGTCTACCACCGCCTTTTGTAATGTCACACATGCACGTGCATGCGCGCACACACACACACTCTGTGTTTCTAAAACAGCTGACCTGCAACTGTAGGATCTTAGAGGACACTCCCCTTGATTAACTGCACTTAAATTTTTCTTTTTAATATTTATTCATTTGGCTGTGTGGGGTCTTCGTTGCGGCACACGGGAGCCTTCGTTGTGGCGCTCGTTCGGGCGCACGGGCTTCTCCCTAGTTGTGGTGTGCAGGTTTTCTCTTCTCTAGTGGTGGCGCACAGGCTCCAGGGCACATGGGCTCCAGAGCGCGTGGGCTCTGTAGTTTGTGGCACGTGGGCTCTCTAGTTGAGGCACGCAAGCTCAGTAGCTGTGGCGCGCGGGCTTGGCTGCCCCACAGCATGTGGGATCTTAGTTCCCTGACCAGGGATCGAAACTGCGTCCCCTGCATTGCAAGGCGGATTATTTATCACTGGACCACTAGGGAAGTCCCTGCATTTAAGTTTTAAAAACCAGAAGCTAAGAACTTGCATTTCAGGAGACCTTTCTTCTAATAATAAAATTATTAATTTTTATTTTAATTTTAAAGTAATGCCAGCTTCTTGCCATTCAACTTTGCCAGGTTTTTTTTTTTTAAGTTATTTTATGCTGATTTATTTATTTTTCGGTTGTGCCGGGTCTTAGTTGCAGCTCGCCAGCTCCTTTAGCTGCAGCACTTGCGCTTTTTTTTTTAGTTGCAGCCGGTGGGCTCCTTAGTTGTGGCAGGCAAACTCTTAGTTGCGGCATGCGTGTGGGATCTAGTTCCCTGACCAGGGATGGAACCTGTGTTCCCTGCATTGGCAGGCAGATTCTCAACCACTGTGCCACCAGGGAAGCCCCCTATTAATTTTTATTAATTAGCTCAACCCTGTGAACTAATAACAAAAATACTAAACATCTACCACTTGCATAATGTGTTTATGCCACATTTAAAATGCATCATCTCATTCAATCTTTAATCTTCACACAGCTGTGAGGTAGGCATATTTTTGATCACCAGTTTAGAAATGAGTAAAATGGAGGCATAGAGAGATTAATTAGCCCAAGGCCATACAGCCAATTACTGAAGAGCTGTAAATCCAGGTGTGTCTGAGTGCACAGCCAAGGCTATTAACATCACCCTGTGAGGATGCCCGCCCCCCCCCCCCACACCCTACCAATAAAGTCTGGCCCAGGTGGCGGGGGGAAGTGTCCCTGGAGGTTGCATGAGGAACCTGGGAGCTTGAGCCACAGCTCACTCACCCCTCCATGGGGTGCAAGGCAATGGCCCTGGGCTTCTCAAGGTTCTGCCATAGAAGCACCTTCCGGTGGGCCCCGTCCAGGTTAGCCACCTCAATCCTTGATGTCCCTGAGTCGGTCCAGTAGAGTTTGTCATGGACCCAATCCACAGCCAGGCCCCCTAGTGGAAAGAGGCCATGGAAAAATGTCAGGGGTTCAGCCCAGGTTCCTCTGTGCCATAGAAGCAAGGGCAGCTCTTACACAAAGCCGTTTCTTGGGCCAGGTACTCTTCTAACCATGGTACACACACTAACTCATTTAATCATCACAACAGCTGTGTGAGCTAGGTACTATAATGCCGATGAAGGTGAGGATATTGAGGCACAGAGAAGTCAAGTAACTGTCCAAGGTCATGCATTTTCTCCTCGCAGCCAATCACATTCCACTTCACGAATCCTGGCTCCCTGACCCACACCCAGGGTCCCCGACTGCACTGGCCCAGGGGTTTACAAATTGTGGCTCAGGGGTTCACAGAGGAACATCAGAAGTCCCATAAGCATTTGAGTCAAATGTGCTCAATACCAAATTCTAACCCACTTCCCTTGCTTGTAGAATGGCCTGAGATTGCAAAGTGAGCTTTTGTTTTTCTAATCTGCAAACATTTGGATATATTTATCTGGGGTGATCAGAATATTCCTAACACTAAGCAATCAAAAGTCAGAATTTAATTGGATGCAAGGCTGATAGAGAACTGTAACGGTCATCCACAAATCTCTGATTTCAGGTGGTTACATTCATCAAAACGGTCTCATTACTCTTGCTGATTGAGCTCATGTTTGCTTTACAACCAGCAGATGTTATAAACCTGAACCTATAAAATGAAGGTAGACTAATGAATGTTTTCCATATTAGAGTTCCATCCAAGATTTCACTGCGAGAAGAAGATGTTCCGCTGCCTAAGGTTTGTAGCCACTCGCCTGTTCTTTCCTCGCCTGTTCTTTCCTCGATGGCTCTGCATGTGGTGTGGCCCTGCCCCTCCCCATGGGGCCTCGTTCCCTACCTGGGCTCTCGAGCCCTGTAGACACAACCTCTTCCACATTGCTGCCATTGAGGTTGGCGCGGAGGATCCGGTCCAGGGTGACATCGGACCAGAAGACAAGCTCACGCCGGTGGTGGAAGTCGAGGGCGATGGCGTTCTCCAGGTTGTTGAGCAGCAGTGTGTACTCAGAGCGGTGCGGCAGCACCTGCCGGATGTCGATGCGGTTGGCGAACAGTAGCACAGGCTCCGGCCCTGGGACGTGGCATAGAAATGGGGCCCCCGCCAGGCTCCAGAGCTGCCCTTGGCAACATCAGCGTGCACCCCCAGCTCCAGGGGGCCCCTAGCCCACTAGGGCACGTCCCAAGCTGTTAGCATCAGTGCTAGAAGGGTGGGAGCCTGCAAAGTACACATCCCACCCCAGCGGGGTTTGGCTTGGGGCTCAGGAGGCAATTCATAGCTCCATTTTACTGCGATGGAAACAGCTAGCTCTCGGCAAATCTCCAAGCACCGGAGCACCTGGCTGCCAGGCTCAGTCCTCTGCCCACCCAGCCAAATGCCAACACCCCTTACCCAGAGCCTTGCAGCTGCGCCGGTCAGGCCGGAGTTCGTAGCCTGCTTCGCACCAGCACTGGAAAGCCCCCTCGCTGTTGGTGCAGCCCTGGCTACAGTACCCCTCCTCGGCACATTCATTCACATCTGTGAGGACGGAACGTGGTCAGGAGATCTCTGTTCTGCCATCCTCCCACCCCAACTGCCCAGCTGATGAGCTGCTTCCCTGCCCACATACCCATCTACTTTCCAGGCCTAGTGGGAAGACTATTTAACAAGCGGTCAAGGGCTTCGAGTTCACTCTGAGCTGGGCTGGAATCCCAACTCTGCTAACTCACCTCTCTGAGCTTCCGTTCCCCCACCTTTGAAATGGGAGGGATAACAATCCCTACCTCCCAGGGCTATTGTGATCATGATATGAGGTTACGCCCATCAAATGCCTGACCCATCGGAAACACAGCTGCCTGGCCCTGCTCCCACCCAGGCCCCAGCTCACCCTGGCACGTGCGTCCATCCTCGATGAGCCGGTAGCCTGTGTGGCAGGTACACTGCACTGCCCCCCGCACCATCTGGCACTTCTGGGTGCAGCCACCATTGTTAACATTGCAGTTCTCCTCACCCATCCGGGGCCCTGTGCCAGCCAAGCCAGAGATGGGAGTTGAGCCCAGAATCCTCCCCCAGACAGCCAACTTGGCATTCCACCTGGACCACGAAGAACAGCTCCTGAGGCTGCAAGAGTCACTGGGGAGGCTTCTCTTTGAAGCGTATGGGTGGGGCTCAGCCACAAACCATGGGTGGGCGCGCCCGGGGGGACACTCACGGCAGCTCTGCTGTGGGCTTTCGTCGCTGCTGTCCCCACAGTCATTGACCCCATTGCACAGCTTCCTCTGCCCGATACAGCGCCCATTCCAACACAGGAACTGGTCCGAGGCACAGTGGGGGCTTCCTGGAGAGGGAGGGAGGAAAATGGGGAAGGAGGCGGGGGAGACCCAGGTCACATCAGGGCAGGGCTTGGGTCAGCAAAAGGATGGGAGCCTGTCATTTTCTAGGGTGAGCTGGAGACAGATGAGACTCAAGGTGGGAGGGTCGGGGTCCAAGGCAGGAAACAGCTCAGACAGGGCTGGCTGAACGTCCGCATGTGTTTTCTCTCCAGGACACCGCAGTGGGACGGTGAGGGGTGTGGGACAGAATGAGAGAGCACATCCATGTGTCCGGCACCAGTGTGGCTAGGGGAGGGGGCATGGGGGCTGTCAGCCAGAGAGCAGTCCTTGCTCACGAGGCCAGAGCACCAGGCACCGGCCATGTGTGAGTTAGGATGTGAGAGGCCATTGAAACTCCCAGCCCTGATACTGTGTTCCAGGCCATGAGACTGCAGGTCAACAGATGCGCCTGGATTTGACACTGGTAACTGAGAAGAGCAGGAAAAATCCAGGTCATGGGCAAGATCTGACTAAAGCATCACCTTGGCCCAAATGGAAAGGCAGCAGTAACACCCTCTTCCCACCCCTATCCTCCGGGCCTGGGGTACCCCTGGGAGACTCTACCTGTGTTCTCACAGTTCTCTTCATCGCTGTTGTCCGCACAGTCGTCCTCCCCATCACAACGCCAGGACAGACGGACGCAGCGGCCTGACCGACAGCGGAACTGTTCCGCCGTACATATCGAGGTGGCTGGGCAAAGCAAAGGTCTAATGAAAGCCGGGCCCCACGTCAGCCCAAAGCACCACCCTGACACCCCAAAATGCGCTTTATGCCAGCACCCACGCCACTCTTCTTGACAGCAGTGTCACAGCTGGCCTATATGGCATCTCTGTGGGAATTGGAAAAAGGTGCCTTTTCCTCAAGACACTTTACTGCCATCTGCTGGAAACTGCCATGATGACTATATAAATCTACAGAGTCATGGAAGATACGTCTACTGTGGGACTGGCATCCTTTGCACCTAGCACCTCTGGGCCATGCCCAACCTACACGACTGTACATGGTGGTCCTGTCCTAACTGTCTTCAAGCTTCACCGGTGGTGGCCTCTCTCTACTTCCAGCCCAGGCCTTCGGCACCGCCCCCCACTCACTGCAGTTGCGCTCATCAGATTGGTCATCACAGTCCGCGTCGCCATCACAGCGCCAGCCCGCGTTTATGCACAGGCCACTGTCACACATGAACTCCCCAGAGCGGCAGGGCTGGTGGGAGGCTGCGGAAACACGATAGGCTTCTGTCTCTAGCTAGTCCCTGCACCCAGTGTCCCATGGCAGACCAGAAAGCCACAGCCCCAGCACCCAGGCTCTTCTATCTTTGCTCAGTAGGGACCAGGGAATCCAAAAGCTTGTCCCCTGAGCTCCTGACCCAGGTGGCACCTGTGCCTTGCCACCCCAGGAGTTCCTCCCAGACTGGCCTCCCCTCCCCCACCCAGCTGGCCAGAGCACTCACAGCAGTCAGACTCGTCCGACCAGTCTCCACAGTCATCATCACCATCGCAGTGGTAGATATCGAGGATGCAGCGGCCGTAGGCACACTGAAACTCCTCCAGGTTGCAAGGGGGCACTGGCACTGCTGAGGCTGGAAGGAGGGCAGGGGCGGGGAGGGGAATACACTCAGTCCTGGACAGAGGAGAGGGGCCCTGACTCCTCAAAGGAGCAAGATGCTCAAACAAAGAAACCAGGTTTCATTTGGGATGGCCCTTATAGACTCCCATATTCTGGTGGACCAAAGGGAGACCTCCCTTCCCACCTGGGGAACCTGTTCCCTCCCTGGCTCAACCTAGGAGGAGCCACTTCTTAAGAACCCACACTCCTTGCCCACTGTTCATGCACTCCTCAGCCTGGCCCTCAGCCCATGGGATGGAGCTCTCTGCCCCATCCCAGCCCAAGAGCCTGAGTTCTGGGGCCACTCACGACAGCTCTCCTCGTCAGAGCCATCTTTGCAGTCAGTGTCACCATCGCAGTACCAGTGCTCAGCGATACAGCTTCCATCGCTGCAGCGGAATTCCTTGTCGGAGCACTTGCGCATGTCTGGGGGGACGCAATGGGACAACAATCCTGCAGGAGCCCCACCGGCAACCCTCCTGCAATCCTCCCTGACTCCCATCCTCACTGCCCCTGGGAGTCTGACCCAGGCCCTGCAAGACACCACAGATTCGGTGCAGACTCCCAAGGGGAAAGCCGAAGCCCTGGAGAGACTGGGCCTCAGGCTCCTATTCTGTGGTTCCTGGGGGGTCTGGCTGCTCTGCCCCTCCTGCTCTCCTCCAGCTGCTCCAGGCACCTGGGCAGTTCAAGGTTCGGGCAGTGCTAGAGCCCCTGCTGCTCTTTCTCCCCACGGCCATGCCATCCACCAGCCACCCCGCCTGCCTCCCTGGAGCGCCGCTCACCACACTGCTCATCGCTGTTGTCACCACAGTCGTTGTCACCATCGCAGTGCCACAGGCTCCGGATGCAGTAGCCGTTCTGGCAGGGGAACTCGTCTTCCTCACACTCCCGCGGGGCTGTGGGCACAGAGCGGTCAGGCTGCTACAGGCAGTGGGGCCAGCGCCTGGGAGCCCAGCAGAAAGCCTTGCAGAGCAGAGCAGCCAAGCAGCTCTGATGCTTCCCAAGGGAGCCTAGGAGGTGGCTGTCTCCGGGGGCTTATCTGACCAAGAGAAGAGGTGGAAGGACAAGAGCCAAAGACCACGGGCTGGGGCATCATTTTCAAGTCTTTATCGAATTTGTTGCAATACTGCTTCTGTTTTATGTTTTGGTTTTTTTGGCCGCGAGGCATGTGGGATCTTAGCTCCCCGACCATGGATTGAACCTGTACCCCCTGCATCGGAAGGCCAAGTATCTACCTCTGGACTGCCAGGGAAGCCCCTGCGGCATCATTGTCTGACTGAAAATTGTTTCCCAGCAGAGCTTGATGGAACCTGCCCAGGCCCGCCAGCACTCACGACAGTCCTGCTCGTCTGAGTCGTCCTCACAGTCATTGTCCCCGTCACACACCCAGGAGCGGCGGATGCACTTGCCATTGTCACAGTGGAAGTCAAGAGGGGAGCAGGTGGGTAGCACTGAGTCCCGGCAAAAGAAGGGAAACGAGTGTCAGTCTGGTGCACTTACTCAGGCAGGCTCAACCGGGCCAGAAATCCTTTGGTAACTCCCTGTCTGAATTACAGTCCTTCCTCACGGACTCCTACGCCTGCCCCCAGCTGATGGAGAACCAAGCAGAAACAGCAGTTAAGAAGCCAGAGCTTTCTCAGGGAGTGGTGGTCAGGGATTCAGAAGGCAGAAGAGCCCAAGGAGCTCAAAACCACTAGGAAAGCAGTTAAGGAAAACATGAAAAGACAAACAAAAGTATTTTTCCCCATTTCCTCTTATCAAATGATGATTGACACACCTGGGCTCAATTTCAAGTTCGAGAACTCATCACTTATCACACAAGCCAGTTACCCTCTCTGAGCTACAGGTTCTTTGACTGTACAATGGGGATAATTATAATTGACTCAGCGAGGTCTTCTGAGACCTCCAAAGTGCTACATGAAAGTGAGCCATTTACCATCATCACAATTAGCCAAACTGATTAGGGTTAATAAGGTCCAGGTTGTAGCTTCACTCTTCTGAGACTAATTAGCCTCCCTCAGATATAGGTGCTGCAGGGTGGAGACTGCACCCCTGAATCCAGACAAGTAACTGGCTCAGGAATAATATTACTACATACCCAAGACAGGATACCCTAGCCTGTTGTGCATGTTACTACACTAGGGGAAAGGGGAGATTTAATGAGAATGTGTGATTTCTTACAAAGTTTATGTTATTTGAAAAGGTGTGATTACACAGAATACCAACATAAGAAACACAGAAATACTCGGCATCCACGTATAGTATGCACATTTTAAAATGCACAAATATGCAACAGATACACATATTCACATAAATACAGAGAGATCTATTTAATTAAAGAGACCACCTGTAACTTCAAATGTTTTCTCCTGTACTTGTTTCAAAGTTTGTTTTACTGGCCATACATGCATGGAAATATGGGAAATACGGGAGGGCTGAAGCCATATATATTGTGAAGAAACCACCCATCTGTTAATACCTGTCACCCTCGAGAGAGTCCAACTCTGAGTCTGACACAGCTGATGCACAGAACACGCCATCACACCTGTCCTTGCTCCCTCACACCTTCTACTACTTCCCAGCGTCCCATGGGGAGGTTCTTACTACATCCGTCCTCATCGCTGTGGTCCCCGCAGTCGTTGTCTCCATCACATTGCCACTGGGCGGGGATGCAGGTACACTCGCCGAGGGCACTCACTGCACACGTGAAGTGGCTCCGACCACAAGCACACTCGGGGCTGCTGGCTAGGCCTGGGAAGAGGGAAGAGGAACCAGTGAGGGCTCAGCTTTCACGCAACCAAAGCCCATTCCAGGGGGGCAAGGTAGAGGAGCCAAGTCTAGGAGCACCGTCACCTAGGAGGCCACAGTGATGCTGCAGGGAGGTGTGGACCATATAATCGTGCCCTCCCCCTCCTCCAAGGCACAAATGGTCAAGAAGATACCCTCTGACTTTGGGCTCACAAACAGTCCAGTATCCCTTCTATGACAGGGTTTTTTTGCACACACCCCCAAAGGCCCAGGGACAAATGATGCCACCTAGAGGGCTGGTGGTCTTGAGGAAGGGGAGCCAGGGACAGCATGGGCGACGTAGAAAGGTTTCCATATCCTTCCCTCCAAAACTAGGTGGAGTTATGGATGCTTTTGCCTCTATCCAGGACCAGGACATTGGCCAGGGAGAACAAGAAATAAGAGTGGAATTAAAATGCTGGAGCCCCTTTAGGGATAAGAAATCACACGAGGGAGCAGAGAGCAACAGGCGCTGCTGTGAGTCCCTGAGTTAGAACTCGCTTTAAGGAGGGTGACCAGGAGAAGCGGGACCGGGAAACCAGGCTGCCTCAGGGCAGAGCGACTGGGACCAGTCAGAGCCTTCCGGTCTGCGGGACTGGCCACAGCCTGGAGAAAGGATGGCAGAAGCAGCCCCTCCCGCAGCCTCCGCAGCACACAGCTGGGCTTCCCTATTGAGCATCCAGCTATCTGCCTGGCCAAGTCCCATGACCGGCTGCTGTGCCCCCTCCCCAGCATGCCCAGCAGGATGCCCTGGGATGGCGTGTGAATGGCTCGGTGCCCCCGCTCCAGCCTCAGCTGGAACAAAGGGTTCTGCCAGGGTCACTCTCCCCCCTCCCAGCATTCATCTAACCCGCTGGGCTGCTGCAGCTGGGAAAGAAGGGGGTCACCTCTCCCTTGCTCATCTCCTCCGCTTGCTTTCTCCTCCCTTTCCTCCCCTCAGCTGGGCCTTGCCCTCAGGCTGGGCTGGAACAGGGAAGGAGTCAGCTCCCGAATTGCCATCCCGCTTCATTTCCTATTTACAGGGCCCAGCTTCTCTCTCGGCTCATCTCCTTGACTACATCCTCACCTTGTATTATATTACTCAAGCCAGCTTAGGGTTTAGGGCCCAGAATGAAAGGGTGGACTGTTATTCCCACCAAAAGCAAGAGGGGAGCCAAAGACCCCTCCCTCTCCACTTCAACCCCAAGGATAAGTGTAAGCATAAAGCAAGGGGCCCTAACCTGCAAATGGATGGGAGGGATGGCCAACCTTTGGTATCTGTGAACCCCTGAAACTACAGGCAAAGTGTACGTTTCTGGAGTGAAGGACCACAGCTTTCACCCAATCTTCAACTGAGGCCTTGCCCTCCCCCTCCACATGCTAAGGGAATCAGCTGCCCTAGAAAAGATGCAGGATTTCCTGCAGAAGCCACAGGAATCCATCTGAAAGGAGCAGCATCTCTATACCTCATAGGAAGGCCCTACTCCAAGCCCAGCACTCCTGTCTCTCCAGATCTCTCTGCAAGTACAGGACAGAGGATTCTTCCCAGGGAAGCACTGAAGACCCAGTCCCATCCTCTTGGGCCTGTTCTGAGAGCACTGAGAAGGGATGAGGGCTTTTTTCACTCAGACCCTGGGCACCAGAGCCTGAGGAACTTTTGTAAGTTTGACCAGCTCATCACAGTCTATAGGCACTGCTTTAGGGAACTCTGGCTGGGATGAAAGAGCAATGACTAAGTATTCCAGAGGACTCCATGCCATGGGGCTCACCACCAACACGCTGACCTCTTTCTCAGGGAAGAATGGCGAAGAGGAAGAATAAGGCTAAGAATAAAGCTAAAAGTCATCCCAATGAGGGATGATTTTTCTCCTTCTTTGAAGACTGGCCTCAGTTGAAGATTGGGGGCATTTGGCAATGCATGATGACATTTTGGTTGTGACTGGTGGTACTGGCAGCATCTAGAGGATAAAGGCCACAGATGCTGCTAAATATCCTACAATGTACAGGGCAGGCGCCCACAACAAAGAAGTTATCCAGCCTGAAATGTCAATGGAGGTTGAGAAATGCTGCTAGCCACGCACAGCAGGGAGCGGGGCCACACCAAGGAGGAGATCAGGGTAAGGGGGTGACAAGAATGGAGAGGAAGAGGGGGCACTGGGGGGAGAGGAGGAGGAAGCACTGGACCTGGAGCGGACAGAGCTGGGTCCCACTGACCAGCTGTGCCCCCTTGTACGAATCCCGTAGCCCCTTAGCCTGTTTCCTTGTGTGCAAAAAAAGCCGCAAGGGTTGGACATGAAGATAAATGTGAAAGAGGCTAACCTCCTGCCTGGGAACACCAAGGATGCTCCATAAATGCATGCTGGGGGTGTGCAGGCATGAGGATTTGGGGGCTAGCTTTTTCTGAAAGGCCTTGATTTTAAGAACCTCAGTACGAGGATCAGGAGATCAAGGAGAGCAGCATTTCAGGCTGCATGCAAGTCAAAAGGAATCCACAAGGTAAAAGCGGAGCCTTCAGGGTTTTTTTTAGCCTCCCCCCAGCCCCCTTTTGGCTGAGTGATAGCAGAAGTCCTGAGTTTCCCCTGCAGACTTCAGGAACAAAGCATTCCATCCAGTGGGCATCAAGTTAGTTGCTGAAGAGTCATGACTTCCTGCATGTCAGAGCAACATCTGAAGGTCAGGCAGCCAGCGACAGACAAACTCTTGGCTTGGGTGTTCATACAGTAAACAGACACATTATACTCCAAACCCCAGCTCTTCTGGACAACTGCTGCCCCTCTGGGATCCTGGGAGGTGGAATTCTGCCTTTTCACTCAAGTCCTGGCTGTGATCATAAAGGACAGCTTTTAACCCTTTTTAACTAAAAGAATGGTGAGTGAAGAAAGGATACAAATGACTGCGGGTGGCAAAACGCGGTCTTCATTTTAAGAAGTGTTCAGTTAGAACACTCAGCTGTGCTTCTGGCCTTGAAAGCTATTTGCCAGCCACACTGCAAGCTACCGTGGCCTCAAAGGGCATGGAACCTTCAACCTAATGCAATTCAACATGGAAAAGAACTCCTCCCGAAGTGTTCACTATCCCTGATCATCAAGTTATTCAGCTTTTAGGATACATGGTAATGTGCTCATAGGGCCTTCCTGGGAGGTTAACCAAAATCTCAGCCATCTGACCACTTTCTCACTGCTTTCTTCGGAAGGAAAGCAGGGAAACGCCCATCTGCTTACACTATCAGACACAGTGTAATACGTGAGAGAACACAGATTCTTGAGTCAGAGAGGCTAGAGTTCAAGTCCTGGTTCTACACTAACTCTACAGCTTTGAGCAAGTTAGTTAATGCCTCTGAGTCTCAGTTTCCTCATCCATAAAATGGGAATAACAACAGTTCTACCACAAAGGGTTTTGTAAAGATTAAATAATCCATGTAGACTGCTTAGCGCAGGGCTGGCACACAGCAAAAGCTTCATAAAAATACAGCCATCATTTACTGAGTACTTACCATGTGCCCTCCAAATACTTTTCTAAGTGCTTTTCTTATGTCACATCATTGAATGCTCCCAACAACCCTGGGAAGTGGCACTGTTATTATTATCACCACCTTACAGTTGAGGACACTGAGACACAGGGAGGGGAAGTCTGTTGACAGGTCACACAGATACTAAGGGTTGGAGCCAGCATTCACACACAGGCAGGTCAATTCCAGATTCTCTGCTCTTAATCTCTTCATGAATACTGCCTCCTAATAAGTGGTATTGCTATTATGAGAATTTCCAATACCCTGAGATCAAAAAAGGGGATTTATAACACTGGGATTTTGGGGTCCTTCTTTCTGCATTCTGGATTGGCAAATGTGCAGTGAGTTTATGGATCTCAAGCAGTGACCTCTCCTTCTGGCTACTGCTGAGGCTAAAGACCAATTTCCCTTGCCCTAAGGTAAAGTAGTGAAGCAAGGAGAGTATGGAACCCTAGCCCTTTGAAAGAGTGCCTCGGTACCGTGTTGGTCCAGAAAAGGGCAGGGCTTTAGACAACAAATGATTATGTTTTGCAGTTTTTCTTGACAGTTTGCAAGCTACTTCTGCATACACACTTGCGTTCTCATTTAATTATTACAGGACTACCCATTTAATTGGTAAGATCACCTACTTTGGCCCAGGTCATGGGGTGAGTAGGAGAGCCAGGATGGCAGCCCCATTCGGACCCTTAGACCAATATTCTTCTCTTAATATGATCTCAGAATCTGGACTTTCAATAAAGCTTCCCACTGATGCACACTCAAGTTACAGAGGCACTGCTGGGAATTCCCCTGGCTGTCCGATGGTTAGGACTCTGTGCTCTCACTGCCGAGGGCCCAGATTCGATCCCTGGTCAGGGAACCAAAATCCCACAAGTCATGAGGCACAGGCAAAAAAAAAAAAAAAAAAAAAAAGAGAGGCACTGCTCCCGATCGCCCCACAGAAAGCTCAGCTCAAGGTGGACCACACCTGTCACTTGGAGGCCCAAGGTGTACAGTGACTATACACAGCTACAGAGCAGCTTTTTCAAGTTGAACCGGAAATGAGAAGGCTTAAGGGGTGTTCTGTGAGTGTTGGGATATGACAGCTACCCCAACGTGGAAGGGATTACAATGGGAAAGGGAGGAATCATCACTCATATAAGTGAAGGATGTTTTATTTCATAACATACCAAAGCTCTCTTCTCTTCTCCTAACAACTGGCAGCAACGGTGAAGATATAAACCTTATTTAATGAGGATAAGTTATTTGGAATGACTTTGAACTACATCCAGGCCAGTCAAGGGACCAATCCACTGATTTCAGCTCCTTGGGCAGCTTACTCAGTAAGCGTCTCTCACTGAAAGGGAAGCCCACGCAGCGAGATAAGACTGACATAACTGAAAGGGGTGACAGCCAAAAGCCACATGGAAATGGATCTAGTCTCACCCAAGAGATACCTGCAGTCTGGAGAGACCCGGGTAGCTATACAGCCACTGTT